ATGGCATCTACATTAACAACTTTCTTTTGAAAGTTGAAGCTTATAAAAATGAGACTTAATTATCTCTTGTCTTCCTTAGGGTTTAAGAAAGTATTAACAAAACCTCATAAGTATTAAAAACCATCAACTATATCCCCTCACTTCTCATGAGCAGTGTCGTAAGACCCGGACCAGGCCTTGACCTAGTCAAGAGGCCCATTCCCAAGTCCGTCGGTCTGACCGATTGGACTGATCGATCAAACCGGTAATGTTAACGTGACATATTGTTATTTGAATTTGGATTTAAATTTGGACTTTCGATTTATTTTATTTATGTTACATACTGTTATTTGGACTTTGGATTTGGATGAAATTATTTTGGAAATTTATTAGAATTTTTAATTTTATTATCCCATGCTAACGTTATGTTGATACCACTGGTTCGATTCTTTGATCTGGCAGTTGAATCAGCAATTCGACATTGTTCTGCCGGTTCAACCCCCAGTCAATCTGATCCAATTACTATAATCGGCCTTTACGATTTACTCGGACTGGATAAGGGTCTGATTCTTGAGCGAACTGGTCCAACCGACCGATCCGATCCAGGTTTTAAAACAGTGGTCATAAGTATACCATGGTTTTGCTACGTCTCTTTAAACCTTTAGGGAGGTGAGAGACAATAACATTAAAATGAAGTTCCTTCGCCAATCATATCTTTATATCTAATCTTCTACTTCCTTGTTTTGCACTCAAGAAAGTTTCCATTTATGATTACAATGGAAATTCCTTCTTTTAAGATTTATCGTTTGGGATGTCTCCATTACAAACTAGTTCACTGCATACAGGAATCAAGGTATCTTAATATAATTTTTTTCTTGTATAGTTATCCATCTTTCAGGTTTCTTCCTCAACACAAAAGTATGTTTTTAGTTAAAGCACCTAACTAATATATGCTTCACTTTTTGACTTTCTTCCCCATAAGAATCTTACCTTTACTTCCAACTCATTGATGGTTGAGTCTTTAAATATGAAGATCATTTTGATGAAGTCCTTACAGAGAGAAGGAAGCAAGGAAATCAAGAAGCTCTCATGGCTATGGCTACTTCATCTTGTTGCTATCCTGATATATTTGAATGGGTTCAAAATCTTCCACCAATCTCTCAATGGAAAGCCAATTCCATGTCAATATGCATATGTTCCACAGCTTCACTTCAGCCATCTCTCAATCTTTCTGTAGCCAAAAACCTTCAATCCCCAGCTGTTTCCTTCTCTATAACTGCAGACTATAATGTCTCCATATCTCTTTGGACTTCGAAACCATTCAAAATCAGCTCGAAATCTTCTAGTTTATTAGACGAAAATACAATTGCCAATCTTTTGATCAACTTCATAGAAGAAGTTCTTAAATATGCCCCAAACAAGTTATGTAACTCCTTGCTCAAGCTTCCAAAACTAGACTCCATCTCCAACTTTAAAGACATTTTCAATTTCGCCTTCATCACTCTTTCGCTTCTCGTATGCATCTATGAAGCTCCTGCCGATCTCCGCTCAGGATGTTTAATTTCTCTCAAGAATCAACTGACGGGTTGCCAATCAAGAGCAGCATCCAGGCAGCTCATGAAGCACTTGGGATCTAACTTGGAAGAGCAGTGGATGAGGTCTATAAACCTTGCGATTACTAATTGGATTATGGAGCTTCAAGCTGCCAACCGCACTCTTAAAACACCATCCCCACTTTTTTCTTATGGATTATCCCAATTTGGGTTGTGGAAAGTTCATCTCTATTGTCCTGTCATCGCCATGGACATCGAAAGCTCCAGCAGCCCTTTAACCGATGAGCGACTTCTCTTCTCCCTGAACTACCACCAACTTGAAGGTGTCATTCAGTTTAACTACAAAGTCACCATTCAAGACAGATGGGTGAACTTGATGATCAACACAGACAACATAAGGTAAATGCTCATTTCAATTACAGAGTTCTTCTCTTCTCATCTTCTGCAGACGTTTTTTTAAACTCTGTTTCACTCTTGATGTTAATAGGTGTGATATTATTCAACTGGTTAATAACAATCTGATGAACGAAAGAGGAATTGGAGTTGATGAAAAGCATTTCCCTTCAAGGATATCATTACAGATAACTCCAACTCTTCAAACCAGCATAATCAGTGTTTCAGTCAGCAAATCTTCAGATAATCCCGCAAGGGAGATTGAGTTAGAGAAAACCATTGAAGGTTCATTTGATCCACCCAACTCTTTCTTGGGGCTCAAGGTATCTGCAGGAGAGACCACGACAATGAGTTTGAAGCCATGGAAATTTGAACAATCTGTGCATGGCTATAGTGCAATTCTCAACTGGTTTCTTCATGACAGCATTGATGGAAAAGAGGTAATCTCCTCCAAGCCATCGAAATTCGCTTTACTCAACCCCAAGGCCTGGTTCAAAGACAGGTACACCAGCGCTTACCGGCCGTTCACCAGGCAAGGCGGCGTAGTCTTTGCCGGAGATGAATATGGAGAAAGAGTGTCATGGAAGATTGACAAAAATGCTATAGGAAGAACAATGGAGTGGGAGATTAGAGGGTGGATTTGGTTAACTTATTTGCCTAACAAGCATAGAACATTTTATAACGAGACTAGGAGGCTGGAATTCAGGGAAATTCTGCCCCTTAAAATTGCTTAGCTTATCAAATCTAGCCATACTGTATATTTTCAGAAACTATGTTGTGTGGAAGCGAAGCAGCATATTACTAGTTTGACACGCGTCGATACTGTATATAAGAATCATATCCGATTAATAATATTGCTTATTATTCATTGAATATAACAATTGCGATCATGGTTATACTAACAATTACGATACTCTATATTAGGAATATCAATGGGCACGTTTGGCTTATTATTTTTATTCATATTCTCAATTCTATTTTTTAAATGTTGTTTGATACGTTATTTCCAAAATATTAGTCTATTTTTTTTAATTATGTTGAGACCCTATAAGTTTATTAATTTTATTAAATACTCCCCCAGAAAAAGTTTAAAAACTAACAAAAACACCCCCACCCACCAATACCTGCCAAATTCCTGCAACCACCGCCGGTGGTAGCCGAAATCTATCACAATAGTCACACAGCCACTAGAAATAGCCGGTAATGGCCAGATCTGTCATCAACGATGGCCATATCTTTGGCCAAAGATGACCGACGTTTCAGCCTTTTCTGGCCGTCGCAGCCACAACATTTCATAGATCTGGCCTTTTTCGACCAGATCTGTGGTGGATCTAGCCGGAAAAGGCCATAACGACTCGTTACGGCACAGATCCGACTGGTCTATGTCGTAACGAAATTTTTCGGCCAGATTCTGGTGGTGGTGGCCGGAATCTGCACTGCAGGTGATGGGGGTGTTTTTGTCATTTTATATATTAGGGTCTTTAATTAAATTAGTAAACCTAAGGGCTTTTTCATAAATTTTTAAAGTTTACCTCGTAATACTCCTCTATCCAATAACCCAATACTATCCCCAAAATCATATCCAAAATAATAAACCAAATGCACCCAATAATGCCGAGGTTATAACCTTCCCTCATAACCCTTGACGTGGCAGTTCGTTATTGATTAAAATGGATATGTAAGACCCATACAAACAGGTAGAACCCATTTTACAAACTGACTAATGATAAGCTGCTATATCAGGGGTTGTGAGATTGAGTTGTGTGTGTTTATATATACGCATACCTCAATTAATTCTCAGGGTTCATTAAACACTCTCCAAACTCAATGTTCTAAGATAAACCACAAATGTAATAAGTGACCTCAGGGCGATTTGAACCTAAGAAATCAATTATGGAGCAAACCAATCCCTTGGGGTTAACAAGTGTTATATTAATGGCCCATGGAAGTGTAATTCTGATTTTGACCCTTGATTTGATTGATTGAAGTTCAATTATTGTCCAAATTACTTTGAAGGGCAACCATTTGTATAACAGTAATACTACATTCACAAATATTTTTTCATTAATTTTCTCTTATAAATGTAACGTATCAGTTTGTATTGATCAGTTCGTAATGAGTTTCACCTGTCCAAATATGAGCGGACCAATTATTTGTGAGAAGTGTTTGTGACTCTATATTTGTTCGTCGTATAATAACTTCCGAAGAGAATTTGACATGTCGTTTATTAGTTAATTGTTTGACTGACAAGTTGGTCAATATCTTTGTAGAAACCGATATGTCATTTTTGTAAGTCAATTATGATGAGCAACAAAATACAGTTACATATTAAATGAAGTAAAATTATTGGGTAAAAGCTAGTGTTAGTGTTACTAAGAACAAGAATTGAATAATTTTTATATTGTTTATATTTAAATAAAAAAGAATCTTTATCTTGATTTGATAGTATTTATTATTTAATAAGATTAAAATATTTTTAAATTTAAGAAAAAAAATTCAATTACGTTGACACTTCCATCTATCAATTAACAAAAATCCACAAGTAATAATTTTTTTTCCTAAAAAATGGTGGTAATTACTATTCAAGACAGCACCATGCCGGCTTCACCAACGACACGTGTGTCTGGGATTGAGAGCTCTTTACTTTTGGTCCGTAATCTAGTGGCGAGTGTATGCATCGTTCTAGTTCGGATTCTAACTTAAAGGCATTCAATTATAATTTAATACACGATAGTTTTGCACCAATGACTTTTTAACTAAGTACGATGACTAATTGTGTGAATCAAAGATTTTTTTTATATTAGGTTGAATTACTATTAAATCTTTTATATTAGGTTGAATTACTATTACGTTATTGCCCTTAGTAAGGTAAAAGTAACCTATCTCACTAGGGTAAAAATTATTTTAATACACATAGTTGGAATCCAAATATGTGATAAACTCATTTTGTCTAATAATTCTAAATCAGAAAACATAATCATAACTATGATATCGTAATTACCGCAATTAAACAAGAGAGGGGAAGCGGCCAAGTTGTTGAAGCAGGGATAGATAGATAAATCCACCCGGCCCACGTGAGAAACAAGTGGTTAAAAAAATTGAAACCCAAGCGGTGGAGAAACTAAGGCAGAGTGGACGGAGATTTCGAGGGAAACCAAATAACAAAGGAACACACTTCACTAATTATCTCCTCGTTCTTCATTAGCTAAGCCTCAGCTCAACCAATCCAACCTACCATTTTTAAAACTCCACTTTGTCTCTCTCTCTCTCTTGTTCAGCTCTCATTTTCATAAATCTGTTAACTCTTGCCTCTCGCTCTCTCATAATTTCATTTTCTTTCAATGGAGTCCTCCGCCGCTCTCCGATCCTTCAACTGTAAGCTCCTCTGCTTTTCAGATCCATCTCACGTGTTTCCATTTCATTTCTTGAGCTTATTGTTATTGTTATCATGCATCTGTATATTAAGGTTAGTTGAAGTTCTGATCATGAGAGTTCTTTTCCGTTTTCGTTTATGTGAAGTGGAGACGAGGTGGATTTTGCAAAAAAAAAAAAAGTAGTTAAAATGACATTGCAGCTGATTGACACTATTTTCCTTGAATTTTAGTTTGTAGGAAAATGTTTCCTTATTTTGATTGTTTAATTTTTCTTATGCGGTTGAATTTCTTTCATATCAGCAGTGAGAGGTTATATTTGTCGGAACATGTTAGTAGGACTCTTTAGAAGAAAAAAAAAATCGTATGAAGCACAATTATATTTGTTTTACTTTTGGTGATTTTTGTTTTTAGGAAATGTTTTCGATATGTAGTTTCTCTGGATTCTTTTCTCTTTGTTTATTGTTTTGTTTTCGAATCTTTATAATATCAGCCGCAGGAGGGTAGTTATATATTTTGTGAGAATGGACAGAAATATCACATATGTGTATTATTCTTACAACCTGAGCTGAATTCAAGGTGTAATATGCAATCTGATGCTTAGATCTTATTGTTGGATTCTAGATTCTATAGGCACTGTTTCACAAGTGGGATCGCTGCTTGAGAGGCCTGGAATGGTGTCTATTCAAAGTAGTTGCTGGCACGTCTCGAGTAAACCGTACAAACTCGTTGCTTCTCCTATGAAGCGGTACAGAACAGTTGTATTGGGTGCAAAGACATCTGAAGCTACTGTGGCAGCCAAGTCTGACAGTGAGTTTCATAGTTTTGTTTTGCTCCATTGTCATGGTGTTAAAAGGCTTATCCCTCCATTGGTAGTTTCAGGACCAGTATTGTTAGAAATAAACTGTGATTCCATAAAGTGGTGAATTTTTATTGTCACGTGAAATCTTATTGGAATTTTCTCTGAGCATGTTTAATTTGGTGCATATGTGCGGGCAGTAGGTGATTAGGTTTGTACATGATACAACACAGGATGCTGTTTTAATTTCTTTGTCACTAATTTTTAAATTGTTCACTTTTAAATTAGAAGAAAAAGCCAGTGTACGATGCATCTAAATTTGATTGAAGGCTGCTCAGTTAAACAATCTTATATTGAAACTTAATAAGTTCTTTTTCATCCATTTGGCAATCCAGTTATGAATGAAGGATCTACTTTGTGTGAAGTAGTGAACTCATGTTTGATTGCAATGGAAATGATTGTTATGTTGAGAAACTATGCTTGCATTTGGGTTCTTATTCTTGTTTAGCCCTATGTTCCTCAATTATAGTCACTTGTGAGAATTCCTTTACATGTGTGTTTATGAATGGAATGTGTGAACTTATTATTAGCGCTTAATTTGGCTTTCTAATGATTATGATGAGGCAGTTTCATCTGAGAGTGCTACTCAAAGCTGTTTGGAGAAGAATACCCTGCGGAATGCAACCTTCCCAAGTGCATTTGAGGTGAGTATTTTTCCTCAAGAGCTTTTTTTGCCCTATATTCACATACAATTCTCAGTCCTTATTGTTGCTTATTAGCTGTATATCTCTGCTTCTCCTTTCCATTTGCTTTTACGGTTATTTCATATAAATTGATTAACTGTGCTCATCTGTTGAGGTTATGCATTTCATATGAGAAGAAAGCCTTGAAGTTTATTGTTTGGTACCACTTTCCAGGAACAAATTTCATTGCTCCATTTTTAAATTGAACTTCATTCACTCAAGAGTTAAGGAAATTTATGAAATGATAATGTATTTTGCTTCCTTGATATTAATCTGCAATTCTTGCCACTTTTTCTTCTGATCTGAATTATAACTAGCTTACTTATTGGTTACACATCACCAGGCATTGCTACTGGAGGTCTGTGACGAGACAGACATTGCTGAGCTGAAATTGAAGGTACTATTCTGAAGTTCTGGCTTGCTTGTTCTTTATCTGAAAGAAAAAGAGAAAATTGCTGGCACTGCACTGAGAACCTTCGCAGTTATGACAATAGCTTTTTTGAATTTGTGAGTATTTATGTTACTTTATGATAGGTTGGAGACTTTGAAATGCAAGTGAAGCGGAATGTTGGAGCCACTAAAGCTCCCTTGTCAAACATTTCGCCAACAACACCACCACCTATTCCAACTGAACCCATGGATGTATCAGCTCCTGCGGCTGCAGCTGCACCACCGACACCACCAAAACCCTCTAAAGAAAAAACCAGTCCTTTTTCTAATGTGTCGTTTGGAAAGTCACCAAAATTAGCAGCCTTGGAGGCTTCTGGATCAAATGGTTATGTTCTAGTATCTTCTCCAACGGTACATGTTCCTAGACAGTAATTCCATTCTTAATGTTTTGGAACAATGTTTTCCAGTGTAATTAATGTAATTTCTTCTTTGCCAGGTTGGTTCATTCCGAAGGAGCAGAACAGTGAAAGGAAAGAAGCAACCTCCCATCTGTAAAGAGGTATCTCTGCTTCACCTTAGTTCTTTCTGTCTTCGCCATTGTGCTTTCAGTTATTAAACTTGTTCGCAACTGACAATTAAACTTTATAAATTCGTAAATATGTTTCACTTTTTAAGATCTCTATGGAGTTAATGCAACTTTTATCATCAGTCTCATCGTAAAGGCTAAAGTTACTGCTGAAATTTAATTTCCTAAGCCAAATACCAACTTTTAGGCTTACTATCATAACTACATGGATTCAATTTGCTTTCCATGGTATTGGGAATTAACTATTCAAACTATCCAGGGTGATGTGATTAAAGAAGGACAAATAATAGCATACTTGGATCAATTTGGTACTGAACTTCCTGTGAGGGTGAGTTTACCTTTCTGATTTCTTAATTGTAAACTATTTCCTCCCATAATAGATGTCTCCTGATATGATGTATACCTGATTTGTTGAGCAGTCAGACGTGACCGGAGAAGTCTTGAAGCTCCTCTTCAATGATGGAGGTATAACATTTATAACCTTTTGTTATATATCATTATCATATCCTAAAGTCTTGAGTCACTTAGTATAGGGTGTAACCATGGACTTTGATTTGACACTATACAAATCGCCTATGGACTCTGACATCTGAAATACAGCATGCCATGCTTATAAATCAGCCAATATCAGCAAATTGTGCAAATCTGGCAATGAAGCTCATCTAGTTATCTAATTTAAACTTTGTGTGTTATAGAGGCTGTTGGTTACGGAGATCCTCTCATGGCCGTCTTGCCATCATTCCATGGTATCGAATGAGCTTTCTCTCCTATAAAGAGCATTTTTGCCGGCTTTGTTGTTGGAGGGTTGAGACTGCCAAGGTTCTCCGTTTATTTCAAGTCCTTGTATTCTTTCCATCGTTTGCTCTTTTCCGTTGTTCAATCAGAAGACATGAGTATAATTGGTGATATGAACTAGACCTCAATGGGTCAATCACAATTAGTTGCAGATCCTGGAATAATTTCATTAAGCACACTATATAGATTGAGAAGAAATATGTCATTTGTGTGTTCTGATTGTGAAGGTAGAGTAGGCCTTGCGCCAGTGCCTCGAATGATTTTCATCCTTGAGGGCCAATCAATTGATGTGTCAGGCCCTCGAACTGCAACAGAAGAAACAGATTATTAGCTTCTAAATTGAAGTATCTAGTAAATGAACAACTAGAATTTAACTAAAGTCTACATTTTACTTACCATGGAGAAAAGTTGCAGACTCCCTCTAGGCATATAATCAAAACAAGAAGTTTCTCACCCTTTGGGCCCATGTAATAAGCCCTTAGAGCCAAAAGATTTGGATGCTTATTTTGCCAAGCAAATTAACTTCAGCTTCAAATTCTCTCTGACCTTTTGTTATCTTTTCTCTCAATCTCTTCACTGCAACTTGACTACCATCCTCCAAGTTGCCTTATAGACAGTGCCATAAGTACTCTTTCCCATGATTTCTGCAGTCGCACAAAAGGTCATCGGCTGTAAAACCAATGGTCATCAAAATGACACAATTTCCCCCTGTCTCTCCACCAGCTTCGACTTCACCAGCTTCAGGTGAAGCCCCCTTTTCACCCCTTGCTGCAGCAGCCCTTGATGTTGGGCTTGACCATCCTTTCTTTTGATGCAGTCCTCTCCTTACAAGCAGCAGAGCAAAATGCATACAAGGATAAGCAAAACTAAGAGAGCTCCTGCTGCAATGAGGATTATATCTTTTGTACTTAATTTTCTTCCATGAGACTTGGTTTCTCAGCGGTGCACCTGGAACATTTGAAGAAGGTGCTGGGAAGGACATGGAGCTGACCCACTAAACCCACATAACTGAATATTCCCCACAAAAGAACTTGCATTGAACTTTTGTGAGAGAGAAGTAGGGACAGGACCTGAAAGGTTATTGTAAGAGACATTGAAGGAACTAAGACTTCTTAAATTGGCAAGAGAATCCGGAATTTCTTTCCCACCAGCTTATTTTGTGACAAATCAAGTTGTGTAAGTGTGGAAATGTCCAATACTTGAAGGGATGTTACCACTAATTTGGTTCTTTTCAAGTTAAGAACAGAAAGGTATGTAACCCACCAAAAGATTCAGGGATTTGGTTATTAAGGTTATTATTCTCCATATTAATGAAACAAGTGAGGAGAGATTGGAGAAACTATCAGGCAAGCTTCCATTAATGGCATTATTTGAAAAATCTAGAGTCCTAAGCCTGGAAAGCTTGCCTATTTCATCTGGAACAGCTCCAATGATTTGGTTATGACAAGTGAAAGCTCTTGAAGCTCACTTAGCTTTCCAAAAGAGACAGGAATGGTTCCTGAGAGGGAGTTGTGATCAATGGTTAAGTATGAAGTTGAAAGAAGCTATTCTTTGAGGTTCACCCCAAGAATCAGAATGTAACCTGAAAGGTTGTTGTGTTGTAGAGAAAGAAAAACAAGTGAAGAAGAGCGAGTGAAACTAAGAGGTATTGAACCCGACAATGAATTGAAGCTAAGATTGAGTCTAAAAGCTTGGTAGAGTTTGCCAGACTAGCAGGGATAGTCCCAATAAGTGAGTTATTAGTAAGGTCAAGAGTTTGCAGAAGGGACATGAGCCTAAAGAAGGAGGAATTGAACCTGAGAGACGATTATTGAAGAGTTGAACACCTCTAAGATTAGGAGAAACCCCAATGCTTGAGGAATTGAACCACCAATGCGGTTATCATGAAGACTAAGCTTTCGCAGCGCTTGAAGTTGACCATTTTTTCAGTTATTTGGCCTCCTAATCCCTTCCAAGGAAGCTGGATTACAATAACTTGTCCTTGAGCACATTTGATACCAATCCAACCGCCAGAACAAGCTCCATAGCACTATCGTTCCAGCCCTCAAGAACCCTTAGGATCATCAGCTCATGTTTGAAAGCTTGTAGGCTTGAAAATCAGCTTCAGTGACAATATACCCATCCCAAGACTGGCTCGAAACAGGTTGAATAAAACAACAAACGAACAAGAAAAGATAACATATAAACCACTAACTCCTTCCACTTCTCCTTCTTCTTATTAACCAACACTCAAGAATCTCAAAAGGTATTTGTTAAAACAAGTAACACTCTCACTTTCACTCTCCATTCCCCAACCTAAGAAAGAACAAAACAATTCGAAGAAGAAGAAGAAGAAATGAAACAGTTAAACAGAGAGTGTAAGAGGGGTTTTGTAGAGTGAGTAAGAGAGAAAGCACATGAAAACCCTGTGAGAGAGAGGGAGGAAGAGAGAGAAGAGAAGGGACAGACACTGTATCAGGCAGGTGAGGGCAATAAGAGAGCAGATCCATCCCTCTTCTCTTGTTGTTTTCACAAAACCAGAAGGCAACAAGTGCAACGGCTAGTTTTCATCTACTCTTCTCTCAATACAATTAAAAACCCTTGACCAGATCTGTTTATTGCCACCAACCGCTCCTCAACGGCTATCTTTTTCGGGGATCTCAAAACAACTATTATAATTTACTAAGATTAATAAACCATAAATTACAGAACTTGACTGGTTTAGAAGATAGTCATAATCAACATAATACCTTTAGCTTGGAGTTTGTTTACGACTGCTTTTGAGACGGCCATTAGTACTTTTTGAGAGGCACTTTTAAATTTTAATGTTTGTTTTTATGAGAAGACCATCGCCACAGGCTAAAAGGTGGGTTTGAATTTAGAGGAGGGTTAAAATGAGGTGACTGCCGTTTTGTCTTGTACCAATGTGTGAATCTCCTGAGAAAGGGGTCCTTTTGTTGAAAACCGTGGAAACTTGCACACGAGTGGTTACCTTTACTATTTAATGACAGGGAGCCGGAGCCCAGTTTGTAATTGTGAAAGGCTCCATTTTTTCCAACTCTGAAACACAAAGTCATCATCTTCATGTTATTGATGATGCCCGCTACATTTGACTGGTCCAATCGAGCCGTCCCTTCCTTTAAAGTTTAAACTACAATAATATTGACTAAAAGAAAATAATCAAACAAATATTTTATACAAATTGATATTATAAAAAAAATAAAATATAAAAATCAATTTATCGTATGATTTTTTTATTCATTTTCTATCTCATCAATTTATAGAAATATTTAAAATTTATTTGTATATTTAGTATTACTCCTTAAATTATTGCTCCGTGGCTGTTTGAGTGATTAAACAAAAATTTGCAATTTTGCATTGAAAATCAATACTTTTGAGACAAACAAAATTCAAAAATAAATAAACTTAAAACCATGACTTATCCTTCAACTTAGACCATTCAAATCCACAAACAATAAACTGGTACAACTTTCATACCATTTTATTATGCTTCTCCAACTCATTATACCTAAAAAAAAAAAAACAAATATATATATATACCCTTTTTTTACTTTCTATTAATTTCAATAATTATTTATTTACTAATTATTTTATATATTAATTAAATGTTGGAAATAATATATTTTATTAATAACTAATACTAATAACTTTGAAAAATTATACTAATTTAATAAAATTAATTTATATATCATTTTAAAGGATCCAAACTAATATACTAGAAAATAAATTGTTATTCTAGTTTGGGTAGATATTTTTTTTATTTTAGTTTTTTTAAATATATTAATTTATTTTATTTATTAAAGTTTAATATTTATATAATAAAATTTTTTTTTTAATTTTTTAATTATATGATTATTATAAATAATAATTAAATTATCATAATATAAATTTAAAAAATTATATAAAATAAAATAATAAAAAATGCTTTGTATAGATGAATAATATCCAATCAATCCGTCAAATTTGATATGACACTATTTATACCTAATCTCTTGACGTGACTACCAATGATAGTATGATACCATTTAGAGTAAATGACATATTCCCACCCTAAGTTAGCTAAAAACTCATATATAATGATTCATTTTTCCAAATATCCATCTTAAATTAAAACGGTGTTGTTCTGACGGATGATATTACTAAATAACCCTTCATCCCATTTCAAACCACCACGGACCACCCGAGCCAGCCAAACCACCACCACAACCCATCCCAAACCACTACCATAGCCATCAAACTATACCCATTCAAATCCCAAACCACCACACCACCACACATCCCATTCCAAACCACCCCATACAAAACCACCACAGCATCAAACACCACCACAGTCAGCCAAATCACCCATTCCAAACCAATAGCAACCACCAAATCACACTATTTCAATAAGAAAAACAAAAAGAAACCCTAGGGAGAGGGGCTTAAATCGAGTGTTGAAAGGTAAAAATCGGGGAAGAAGCATAGGGTTATTGGGGAGGTCTTTGATGAGTTAAATGGTGGGCTTGATTAAGATTTTTGGTGATAGGGCTGTCGGAAAGAGGTTGGCGGAGTGCGACAGTTGAGGTGAGGGTGACGACGAAAAGGGAGTCAAGGTGGTCGGGGGGGTAGTGGGTTGGGATGGTGAGGCGCTGGGGAGGAGGAGATGTAGAGGGAAAAAGAAGAAGATGGGAGGAGGAGGCGTAGTGGGGAAAGAAATGGGAAGGGAAGAGGAAAAAGAAAAAAGAGAGAAAGACCAACCTGCCCTTTTACGTTAAAATAAAGGAAATAGTGTTAATTAAGGGTGGATATTTGAAATAATGAAACCACAGGTATTAGCTGAGGATTTCGATAACCTTGGGGTGGGAATATGTTGTAGTCTATATTTATTACATAGATTTAACCCATCTCATTTGACATGGCGTTCGTGTTTGTTGGAACAAATTTGGACACCGATTGGTGCCCTATTACAGAGCCCTTATGAACCAAGTTATCATTTCAAACAAGCCAAAGAGAACAGAGTAAAATAATTCATAATGATAGTAAATCTCAAAATCCTGTATAACGATGTTCAATGATACCCAAGGGTCAAACCAATGTGGCTTATATACAAAACTGCTTTTTTTCTGGGGTTAAGGGTAACCGTACAAGGAGAGAAGAGACTGATCGAAAAGGCGCTAAATGTTTGAATGAAACAGAGCTCTATACCTCGTTCCAGCGCAGAAATTTACAAGGA